CTCTTTGGTACCTTTATTGTAAAACGTGTTTTCGTATTAGCGTTACGTTCAAACAGTTTATATTGTTATTGTTATTATTTTAGATTTTGAAAAAAACAAGAAATTTATTTAGTTTTTTAAAGTAAGTTTTTTTTTTCTTATTATTACATAAATTATAGATATAAGTATTATTGTACAACTTGTATTAATTTCCAATCATGACCAATTAAAATTATAATATAATATGTAATGTTATGTAGTCCTGTACCTATTATGAAATACAAAATGCTATACTATGCTACTATGGAATATTTTTTAATGAAATATATTTATTTAAAAGTAAAATTCTTTTAGAAAACAAAAATCAACAGAATCTATTAAATAGTAAACCCATATGAATTATTTAATTATTAAAACATTTATTGATGCTAATCAACCCATTTCCTTCGCTTGGAATCGGTTTTCGTGTACTTATAATTGTCTTAAAATTATTTGATATTTAAATTATCTGCCAAATGATGAGTTACACTCAAAACTCACTATTTAATAAAATTGAGATTTTGGTTTTTTTTTTCTTTAATATCCTATATATTGTATAGTATAACTGGTGAAATGTGATTCCTAAAATATTTTATAATAGTAATGCTATCATACTCTTCTGTGTACAATAATAACTTAAATATAATGCAGATACACAATACACTCACACACACACACACATGCATATATATATATATATATATATGCATTAAATATTACGTGTGTATGTTTGTGTGTGTGTATTTAACATATACATAGATATTTGGTCAATTCGATTTAGAGAACAAGTCCTGCAAAATGCTTAGTCAGCACTTAAAAATTGCCATTGCATTACGGGTTACTGTACATTACGGGTTTAGAGTTCACTATAAAGTCGATATCCATGTAATTACGCAACATTAAATTGCGTTTTCGTAAACTTTCCCTTTTAACTCTGCAATAGTTACTGCCCAGTCTATTTTTCACATAAGTTATACTAATACCCTATATAGAATATCAATATTATATAATACATTTGAACATAGTCATTAGTTATTATCTATGATGATTTTTTTTTGCCACTGTTATAATTATTGCTATTATTTATTTTTTCATTAAGTACATATTCCGCATTAATATAAAAATACTGTCTTATTACAAATCGAAATTTTATATATATATATATATATATATATATATATTTCGGTATTATGATTAACTAACTTACAATTAATAAATTATTTTTAATAAATTTTCATATGGTAAATTATTTACGGTAATACAATGAAGTTAGAGAGTATCATAATTATTATTATTATGTTAAAATAATTAGTTTTAACAAATATCTAATTAAATATTTATTAAATGCAATGGTTTAAAATATTATCGCATTTACACATAAAATGTAAATGATAATATTTAGATTGATAACCATATTTCTAGAACCAGTAAAATATACAAATTATTCTGCATATTTGCAGTTAATTAGTGTCTATTATAATCCTACAATCCCGCATGTTTAATTATTTTGATATTTTTCCATAAAATTAAACTGATATAATACATATGTATATATAAACGTAAACATTCTAAAATATTATAAATATATATATATATCATATAAAATATATTATTTGAATATAAATAGTGTTTATTATGATGTGTATGTTTTGTATAACAGTTACTGTAAATTATTCATTTAAAATTAATTTATTCAAAAATGTATTATCACATTTAAGTAGGCACATATTATAAATGCAAATACAATAAATTGAATTTACGTTTAAAGTTATAATTTATAGGTTATTGTAATGAATATATTTTAGTAAATTTAAATGAAATAATTTATATTTATGAAGTAGGTATACGGATTTTTCTTAGATATTTTTAAAACGATTATTATTTATTTTATTTGAACTGATTTATCGATAATATTACATGATATATGTCTGTGTAAAATTTAACCTTATAAAAGTATAACGTTAAATTATATTGTTTTAGTAGTTCTATAAATATTACGTAGATATGACTATCGATGAACAAGTAATAAAATTATATAAATAATAAATATACTTTTCATAATTTTTTTACAATAGTTTGATGTACACTGAATATAAAATATTAATTAAATTGGATTAATAGATTAAAATATTAAAACAAAATTATTTTTTCAAAAGACATTCATCTAGATGAATAAAAAATGGTCGACATTTCTCAAAAATAGAAATCTGAAAGCAACAAAATTTCTCGATTTTGAAGTTGAAGCTCAAAATCGTTTATTATTTAAAAACTATTGTTCAAGATATATTATGCTTATTGCTTATCGCGTTACTTAGCAATATTTCGCTAACAAACATATCGACCTTTGTACGCGATAAGCTCGTCGAACTCTAACGTCGCACTCCTCCCTCTTTTTTATGGGAAATCGGTGTATGTCCAGCGGTGGACGTAAGATAAGTCCAATTTAGTTCTCTCTTACGCGATCGTCGTACGAGACGTTGCCCTTACCGCGAGTGTGCGATGTTCAGTGTTGTCGCCGTTGGCCGTTTTTATGCTCAAGATTTGACCCTTGGGTCGTGGCACTATTGCGCAAGATCTTCCTTTTCACCCGTGTGTATTTGCTATAATATATTATGTTTAATTTTATTTGTTCTCTTTGGCGGTTGGTTACGATATCGTGTTGAAAATTAAAACCTTTTCCTTTTTTTCGAAGAACCGTGCCGTCGGACGTCCGGTATAATAGTATTATAAATAATATTCGTCGATACATACACGAAGATGTGATAGTGAAACCAGTCGTTAACGTAATATTTTTAAACACGCGAATTTGGAGGTCAAGAACCCGGCACCTATATACATCATAATTTTATAATCAGCCCCACTGGTCACACTGTCCAAGACCCAGGTTTTGGTGAAATGAAAGACCGGACGGTATTGTTATTTTACATTATGTGATATCTGTGATAATGACTCGTTAAAAAATATTATTTATTTATTGTGTATACGTATTTAATATTAATTATTATTATATTATTTTCTTATTTGGGCGCCCATCTTAGTATACTATTATTTTTTGCATTGTATTTTAAACATCTGTTTACCACATTATTTAGTTGTAACACGACTGTGCATTAAACTATCGAGTGTATATTATATAATAATTTTGGTCAACTGTTTCCTCTACGAAAGTTAACTATATACTTCTGAGTGTTCAATTTGCCATCCTAAGCCAACAGCCTAACGTAGGAGCCTGGTGGTACAACTATATTTAAATTAATTATTAACTTATTTAATTTATTAATACATACATAAAATTCAAGTTAAATCTTTTTGGTTTCCAATGAAATACTCATTGAAAAATTTAATTTCATATATTAATACAAAGTGAAAAAAATGTAAAAATAATTTTCAAGATTATTTTGGTATATAAAAATAAAAATAGAGATGAGTAAGTAGTTTGTGAGTTTTAAGTATTTAAAGTTTCGGTTAATAGAATAGTAGAATCATCATGTTCAATCAAAAAAACATTAAATAGTTATAAATCTTAATCTACTCGTCCAAATTTTGATTTTTATGTTTCGAAATATTCAGAAAAAAAAAATGTTCACATAAGGTTTGCAAAAAATGTAAAGTTCCTATTAGAATTTCTTAAGTTGACCTCGAAACTTCCCTTTCCTAAAATATAAAAAATGCATACATATTAGTAATCGTTTTAGAAATTTCTAAAAAAAAATGTTAGTGTTAAAAATTGTTCTCTATCATGAACATGTTTATGATAAAACAGCTATAAAATACATTTTATATAAATAAAAAGAATGAAAAGTAATAAATAATTACTTTATAAGAGCTATATTTCATAAATGATTCAATACTATTTTTAGAAATACTAAATAATTTAAATAACTGAGTATTTATATTTATCTGAATATTTTTCATCGTTACAACTTCTTATTTTAGTTTGAAATATTTTGATATCTGATTCTTCATAATATAAGAAAGGAAAATTGTAAAAATAATTCATAAAACCAATTACATATGTATATTTTATGTTATATTTCCATTAATTAATTCATCAATAAAAATGTCATACATTGTATAACTAAATAACAATCATCAAAAGGTAAACATTACTGGTATGTAATATTATTATTAAGTAGGTACATTATTATATTATATTGTAATTTTTAATGCAGGAAAACAATTTAATTTCTTCGCATAAATGTATGCATATTTAAACATAAAATGTTAAAATATATTTAAATTAAATTTATAAAAACGAGTATAACACAAATAACAAATAGTTATAGATAAAACAAATGAAACAACATAATTTAGGGAAGTTATCACGGTAATTTTAAATTTTTAAATGTTTAACCACCCATAGACTTAAAATATAGATTAACAGACAAAATATTTTTAAACAAATAAATACAAATTATTTATCATTTTCTCCATGACAGAAAACAATTTAATGGAATTAACGGTATACTTAAATATTGATTAATAATAAATTTAAAATTAATATTATACTACGATATACATAATACTGTAAACTTGATAAGTAATTCATTTAGGAGATAAGATAGTACACGACAATGTCCATTAAAAAGTATATAAATCATTAAAAACAATAAAAACTATATACAATAAGTTAATCAGGATAAATATAATTACTTATTTTAAGTACAATTATTGGAATTTTTGCCAACAAAACCAGTTAATGTGTAAACTATTTAAAAAAAAAATATAATAAATTGGTAACAAAATAAAACTTTTAAAATAATATGATAAAATTCAAAATGGAAGGATTGTATATTACAATTTTTTAAGTTTATAGCTAACATGAAATGAAAAAAAATATCCCAATAAAACTTTAAACTAAAAATGTAAAGCGCTGGGTACAATACATTTTTTCCTAACATTTTGAAACCTTAAAAAGGATATATATAATATATATATATTTATATTTTACATGATTTGTTTACAATAAGATTGTGGAAAATTATTTTATTTTACAAAGAACTTCTTTACAGTTATAGTAAGTTCATAAACCGTATTTTAATATTTTATTAACATATAAACAAAGTTTAATATGGTAAAGGTTACGCCAAAAATATTTGAACAACTCAATTTAGTAAAAACTAAGTATAATTGTAATTATAAAAAAACCCATCGAAATCCATTGTGACCAATAAGAAGGAAGGATGTCAATGGAAAAATTGACAATTCTGTCACCAGTAGAGCTGAATTTGAGCTTTTGTGTCGTTGAATTGCGGCTGTGTTGTCAATTTCTAAAATAAATAATTATAATAATCAAGTTTGATGTATTCGTATATGTTTTTTGAAATAAGTTTGTAAACTAAAATATGTTAAGAACTATTTAAGAGTTATGGAATACAGCATATTTTTTAGTTAGATCAATATCAATTTTTATTTATTATTATATTAAGTTTTGAAATGTAATAAATGTTCTTTTTTATTTAAAAAATATTTAAAATAAATATCTATTCTCTAATTAATATTATTATATAGTTTATTATAAAATAAATAAAATATAATTCAGTATAATTACCATATTTTATTCAGGTATTATTAATCTAAAATTTTAAGTACTTATAATGGTTACTTGCACAAAATAATGCTTAAAAAATAACTAAATACATTTTTTTTAGTTAAAATAATCAAAAATGTTTAAATTATAACTCGAGGCTATAATTTATTTAACTTCAAAGGAAATTTTTTACTTCAAACAGAAATTTTAAAAATAAAATACTACTCAACATACTCTTTCCTTCAGATTTAACTTACAAACAGACTTCTATAAGAAAATGCCTATATGTATATAATTATTAAATAATATTCCTATTAAAACTAAAATACTAGGTATATAAAATGTATTATAACCCTTTTCAGACAGATTTATTTATTATTCTCCTATTTTTGAACGCTCAACCTTTTTTTCTGGCCTTACCAAGGTTATCTTAAAATTTGTTATTTGGAAAAAGTTACACGAAATTATTGATAAAAAATGTACACGTTTTAGTTCTTAAAATACCTAGAAGATACCATTCAAAATGTTATAACTATAATCTAATCAGCAGTATAGAACGCAATTGTTTAATTCCTATTTACATAAAAATCCTAATGGAAAAAGTATCAGAACTTAGACTGAAGTCTATACATTTTTGTCCAATAAAAAATTATTTAAAAATCTTGAATCGTACATCAAATAAAATCTAGACTAATGAAGAGACAAAAATTTTAGCTCATGTATTTCTTTTCTAGTGAAGTTTCAAACGCTTTTTTTAGAAATCAGTTGAACATTGCTTGAAACAAAAACATATAAATAGATATTTCTTTAAAAATATAGATAATGTAAAAGAAATAAATAAAAATTAGAACTTGTTAGTTCATATTATTTTCAAGTTGTCAAACTTGCAGATTATGTTAAAAACAGCATTTATAGTGCACGTTAAAAAAGGTCAAGTTTACACTAAATTATTTTATTCAATTTCTTAACTTTTTTCACCCGGTGAGGTACAATATAATTTAAAATGATTTATTTTAAGATATTCTTATAGATAGATTTAATTTTAATTAGTCAACTGACTGAAAAATGACAAATACACCTAAAACTCATATTCAATTCTGACTCGAAACTTTCTTACTTTTCTGATTCTATCTATAATAGAAAACTTCAAATATAATTTTAATCAAATCAGGTAAATCATACAAATTTTATTTTCTTATCGATCAATCTAGCATATTTTTGCAAAACTGAATGAAGAGATAATCTAAAGTGTATAATTATTAAGCCCCTTTTTAAATAACAAACTAAATATTATTCAATAAACTCATAGCTCATAAACACCATTAAAGGTATTGTAAATATTTGGTGAATTCGATAGTTACTTTTTTGAAAAAAAATAATATTATTAAAGATTCCTTTTTACAGTTATGGTTGCCCAAATATATGACAGAAAATAGCATTCTGGTTTTCTGACAAAACTAAAAATAATTTAATATACATCATATAATATGTATTATAACTAGGGATGAGAAGTTATAGGATTTGCATATTTTTTTCTGTATCTTCTATTTAGCTAGGTGAGATAAAAATCTGTTTTATAACCTAATGAATCGAAACTTGGTATTTAAATTTTGCATATTTTTGCATATTTTTGCTTATATTGGTAGTTTTTTTAAAAGTTGCACATTCATGTTTTTTTTTTGTGCATAAAAATGCATATTTAGTAAAATTATGTGGAATTTAATACAACTGACATGAAAAATTTATTATTTTATAGAATTGTATGTGTTCGTAGTCTGCAATAATCAATAAAATAAAAATGCAGATAGCAAATTTGAAAATTGTAGAATTGTAACATTTAATAATATGTAGGTATATAAAAGTAAATCTAGGATTAGTATCTTATCTAATCGTTTATTACTCAATTAGTCTGACCAATCATTTTTATATTGATTTTTATACTATATATTTATTTTTATATTAATTATTTTATCACTCAGTTAAAAATTATTTATATTTTAATAGAAACAAATGTAGTGGAATATTATTTATATTAATTTATTTTAAACATGTTTTTATTTATAGAAAAAATTGCATATTATAATATATTTTTTGCATATTTTTAAATTTTTTATGCATATATCATAATTTTTCCTTGCATATTTTGTCTATTTTAGCTCTTATAACTTCTCATCCCTAATTATAACATAAAGTTATAGAGAAAAGGAACATATTATTTTAATTATTTACAAGTTTGTTAGTAAAATTAAATTTATTAGAGTTTGAAAATTAATAATGTTTTTAATGTCATTAATATTATAATATTACCCTAAGATTGTTTTCATGAGAGCAGGTATTCTGTGGTATTAAATTAACTAAAAACAAATAGTTAACACTACTAATTACTGTTCAGACCTAATTAAAAATTAAAATAGTTACATCCTAGAATATTATAACTTTTAAAAAGTTCTCATATTAACATAATTTTAATAACTTTTTTTATGTATATTTGTATTCAGTTTTAAATTAGTTAATTACTTAAAAATCATTATTAAGGATAGATAAAATAAATCTGCATAGGTATTTATAAATTAATATATAAAATTAATAAATATATATTTTATTATTTGTGATATGAAAAAAAAAAATTGAGAAATTATTCCTTAACAACAGGTTTAATTTATATATATATCAATGTTACAAAATAAATTATAATGAAAAAAAATTTTTTTTTAACAATCTATATAGATGAGGAACAATTTATTTCATTATTACTATACCAAATACAATCAAATTCGCTTATTACGATGCCGTTATAACGATATCCTGAGTAAAACGATTCCAAGCAATGTATTTGGTTGGTTTTAAATTTTATTTTTAGTACTTTTGGTCGTATTTAATGATGTTGGTTACAACGATAATCCAGATACAGCGATGTTATTTTGAAATGAAAATGGGTTTTTAATTTTTTATATTCACCTATAGCAACTAATAATACATGCCCAATTAGAAAACTTGATTTCGTTTGAAGTGATAATTTTTAATCTTATTTGTAACAAACAATGTGTTTTGTACGACTCGTAAATTGTATATGGAATAATTATTTAAAGTACCTACTGTCTATTTCGGAAGTGTATTTTTGTATTGATCATGTGCGTACCTTTGTTTCGGTAAACAGCGATATGAATATGCACAGTGGCATATTTACAAACTTAATTTTCTTTTGGGAGGTAGGGGTATAATAATAATGATTGGGGCGGAACCAAAATTTTCTATTTTTCCATAAAATGGGGAGGGGCATAGATAGAAAAAAAAATAAAAAGTCATCAGATAAAAAAGCAAAAACTTAGCCCCTGAAAAGTAATTTAGTACACAGGTTCCTAAACTATGGGTCGCGATCATATTTTTAGTGGGTTACGTTACATTAAAGACATATGGTCATTAAAATCGAAAAAAAGCAAAAAAAAAAATCTCAATAGATAATATATTCTTTTTTTGCATATTTGGGGAGTTGGTGAAAATCCACAACACCATTCCCTCCATAAGTACGCCACTAAATACGCTTGAAAGTGTCAATAGACAAAAACATTAAAAAATATTTCTAATTTTGTTAAAAAATCTTATTTAAATTATAAGCAAAGCACTATAAAAGATTATTTTTCAAACAATTCGCAAACATATATGTACTTCTGTTAAAAATTATAAATGCTTTTAATGTTAAAATATGAAATTTTAAATAAAATTATACAGCAAAAAATGTGTTTAATAAATTAATTTTTTTAAAACATCAAGCCACTTTTTATAACGAAGTTAGGTTATAACTTGGACCAGGATTTTAATGACCTAAAAACCTAAAAAAATATTAAAAAATAACCTTAAAATGTTAAAAAAAAAAATTATATTAATGAATTAATAAATAAAAAATTATATTTTTAGGTAAACAAATAAATTCATCTTGTGGTAAAATGGCTAGCGTCATTTGTTCTGAAATTAATATATTTTGAAATAATAAAATAATATTGTAAACTTAAAATTTAAATTTAAACTTAACTTAAATTCAACAATAAATTGAAGAAGATAACATCTAATCGAACATTATTATTGGATTATTGCATAGTTAGTTCAACGAGTATATTTTATATTAGGTATACAAAGGATTGGTATTTTGAAATATTAAATATTTTTTGAAAATATGTTTACGATTTTATTTTAATGTTGTATCTTTATATGTTTATATAATAATTTATAACGACCATTTAAAAAACTATTTAAAAATTTATAAAAATATTACCCAAATTTCAATGAAGTATAAAAAATGACCTAAAATTAAAAAAAAGTACAACAAATGCAGAATAAAAACTATATATTTAACTCGTAGATGACCAAATCACATTTTTTGCTTAAAAAGCTATCCTAACCTTAGTTATAACGATTATATTCTCTAGATCCTTTGAAGATTGTTATAAGCAAATTTGACCGTACTATTAATATTTTAAGAACACATTCATAATTTATTATTTTATTTTATCGAGAACTGTGTATAATAATATACATTTGTTTTGAATAAAACTTACCTGGCGTGATGTGAATATAAGTAGAGTCGGGATCAGTGTTTGGAGGCTGACACGTATAATTTCCTGTATCAATCTGAATTGCTTTTGTGATTGTCAAGCGACTGTAAATTTTACGATCTATCTGTTCCGTGCTGATGGACAGGCGATCGGGTTTCAGTCCATTTTTGTTAAAATGACTTGATGATATAACTTTACCATTATGGTACCATAACACGTATTGCGGCGGTACTGGGCTCTAAATCAAAATTAATTTAAAATAAATAAATTTTAAATTACACAAATTACTGTTTTATAGTTCATCATATGAATTTATTGTTATAGCTACAGATTAATATTAAAATTTTTGTACGTGGACTATTTCAAAATCAACCTCTTATGTGATACAATTCACTACATATCGGTACTTTGTTCACATTTTTCTGCGTGTCATAACTAGTGCATTATTTTTTTATAATTACATGCCGAATTTTAGCCATTTTCATTTAGTATTGTTTTAATATTGTATATAACAACACGGGGAGTGCAATTGCATCTCCTACCGACTTTAATAAGGGGTTTTGGGACCTAACGAGCATAGAATTCGTGGTAACCTAAGTTTCTAGGTGGGATTCTATGTAGAGTACAATAAAGCATTTTTGAAAATCTTTTTTTTTGAAAGATTTGAAATCATAAACTTCTGTTTTCTTGAAAAAGTTAGTCAATTTTTTGGGGTAACACGTCATCTTTGTCAATATTGATTATCAATCTCTGCCCACTTTATATGCTATATCTGTGCGTTCGTTTTTAAATTGTTTACACCAATCACATACCAAATCATCATTATCATTATATTTTCGAAAACAGTTCATATTCGACGATGAATTTAAGTTTTGATTCATCTTTGGCTTGCAAAAAAACAACTAAATATGCAGCTCACAGGCGGCTGGAAATAAAACTGTATTCTCCATGAAGTTATACCAAATATTAAAACAATACTGAACAAACATTTTCGAAATTTGTTGTATAACTTTAAGATAATAGTTTACTGATTGTGATATGTAGAAACATGCTAACGAAGTGTCCATATGTAGTGAATTGTAACACACCAGACGTTAGTTTTGAGATAGCCTTCGCATAAACTAAATACAGTGTAGTTTGACAATATTTTTAATTTATATGAATGTTACACATCAATGTTTTAGTTTTTATGGAGTACCAATTTAAGCCTTTATTTTAATCAATATATATATATATATATTATGGTTTGGAATAGGCAGTAAATTAAATTTAATATGATAACGTAACAATAGATAAATCATTTTTAACTGATAAATTGTTATTTTTTTATGAAATATATAGTACCCATTTTTCAAAATTAAGTATTTCGATGTACACTTATATTTAGATAATAATGATGTAAGAATGTAGTCAATCATGGTTTAAGTCCCCAAAATTCTATTAAAATCAATTTTTTATCTTGCATTTTTATACACCATCATATCCGTATATACAAATATTAATACTATTCTATGTGTTGCGTGATTTATTTCTATTTATATAAGAAATGATAGTTATTATACTAATAAATTAAGTTTAATAAAATTTAAATTATCTTTTTTTCAGTTCGTGTTTGGTGACTATAGAGACCACACGTCTTTCGTGGCCCATTTTATAGTTCTCAATAGCATTAATGCATTATCACAGTAGTCTTAATGCTTCAACCGGGTATGTACATTGCTAGTCATAAATGGTACAAAGTGCACCAATTTAATAAATAGTATTGTGAAAAAATTCCACCTATGGGCGATTATCCTGCTTAGACATACGTTAACAATTAACACTAATTAAAATTAATAATGCATCAAATAAATTTAAAAAATAATACGGAAAGACGCAAGGTCCTACTAGGTACTCACAATTAAAAAAAAGCAGAATAATTTGGAAACTCGATTCTCAGTCACAGCCTTCGTCACTATCTCCTAACTCAGATAAAGAGCTTAGATCACCAAAAAAATCATATCAGAACCAACAAAAAACACCTTTTTCACCACACCTAATCGTTACTTACTATTAGAAACATCGATAACGTATCAGAATGAAACAATAAACAGTGCATTTAAAATTCCAAAATTAAATAACACAAATAACCTCGAACTCGACACCCATATTGATACTGAAGTAACGCAATCGCAAATTAAAAAAAGATAACATTACCCCCAAAATACCACCATTATTCGTCATAAACATAATGTAATTCACAGATTTTATCAGAAACAATAATGAACGGTTTTACTGCCACAGCCAAAAAAATTAACGTAGAAACAATCGATGGCTTTCGAGTACTTATCAAATTTTTAGATAATAAAAAATACGAATACTACTCATATAGGCTAAAAGATGAAAAAGAGATATCGACAATAATAAGGAACCTGTCATTATAAATTACCGAAACGGAACCTAAGGAAGAACTAATTGAACTGAAATTCTCAGTCAAATTCGTGACAAGACTAATAAAGATGAAACACCAACCTCATTAATAGCAGTTCAGCTTTTCAATAGCCCTAAATCTCAAGAAATCTTCAAACTGGATAACCCATTTAATTGTATTATTATCACGGAGCAACGCAAAAAATCCAAAGACCCCCTTAATGTATTAGTTGTCAAGAGATATGGATACATTAACAAATCCTGAAAATTCAATCCCTAACCCAATAACCTAACCCGCGTCAATACATTAAATATAATAAAAAAAAACTGAAGAACCTCCACCATGTGTAAACTGTAACGAACCACATTCTGCAAATTACAAAGGCTGTAAATATTTTAAAAATATAATGAACAAAAAAAAATCTACAAACATCCAAAAATACGCCCAAACTGAAAGAAAACCACTAAAAAACGTAATAAAATAAAATAATACAACTAACCACTCTCTAGAAATATTGAGCATAATCGTCTATGTAGATATTTCTAAAGGGAAATCAACAACTACCCACACGCATGCAAATAAAACGTACAATTCGCTATCTAATGATTACTTACAAAAAAATATACAGGATTTTATTGAAAACATACTTCAAAACATACAATTAATTATCATAACCACCATCTTAAACTAAATCACAAATTAACTATCAGCCAATCAAACAAACATAATAAATAATAATAATAATAATGTCAAAAATTAACATGCATGAAATCAAATTTGTCAACTGGAATGCCAACGGCATTAAATCCAAAAATCTACATTAATAGAATTTCTATCTCGTTACAAGTTGATATAACTCAACTTAATCTCCCTGCATACCTACTCAAAACTATCATATCCTTCAGATCCAACAGATCTTTCAAAGTAAAAGTAGAAACAGACTTTTCACAACTACACCACATAAAAACTGGAGTTCCTCAAGGATCAGTCCTGGGATCAATTCTATTTAATATTTACTGCTATGACATTCCAATCCTTCTTAACTATCAATTGGCAATGTTTGCGGACGACACGACAATTCTCATTCAAGACAGTTTTTTAGAGTTAGCAATCAAAATTTTAAAATCCTCATTAAATGAAATAAATACCTGGTTCAAAAAATGTAAGTTAAATCTAAACCAAACTAAAAAGTGGGATCAAAATATTCACCTTTAAAAGATATAACAATCCTAAAAACATATACATAAACAACCAGGTAATTAAATGGAATAAAAAAAAAAACAATGCAGTCAAATACTTAGGAGTCTACCTAGATTACTGGTTCCCAAACTGGGGGGGGGGCGAGTACACATTGCTGGGAAGGTGCAAACAATTACTACGAAATACAATTTGTATTTTAAAACGTAGAGAAAAAAAATGAGTTGACCGGTTCCTTTCATCCGTTATCGGGTATCAATAACGGATAACCGATAAATTATCATTTATAAAAAAAAATAATCTGAATATTGAATAGTTTATTTGTAAAGTATATGAAAAAAGGTGATCGAATTATTTAAACTTATAGGAGGGGGTGTTAGATTTTTTAAATCTACAGAAGAGGTGTAGAATAAAATAGGTTGGAAACCACTGACCAAGATTAAAAACTTACTTCGCATAAATAAATAACTCGTACAGGGCTGTGAATTCTTAAAATATTTTGCCCTTTAGTCAACTATAAGTCAACACTACAAATTAAGTCATCACTTCTCCTATATACCTCAATAATCACCCACTAAAATTAAAAAAAATACAAGTTCTTCAAAATAGATTCTTTAGAATGTGCCTAAAATCCCCTGGCTTATGAGTAGTTGCCAAATACACAACAACACTGGAATACCTATACTGAATATCTTGATTAAAACCCAATTTACAAACTTTCACGTCAAGCTGAAAGATTCGAAAAGAACCCATAATTTTCAACTAGGAAGAAAAACTCAAAATAGGCTTCTATAACCTCGACTTCTCTAAGACATCCTCTAAACGGACACAGAAGAATTCTCATCGGAAAATGAAAATATTCAACAATAAAAAAAAAACCTATAACTATGAATTATTATATCTTTGTTTTTACCAGTAATTTTAATTTTAAATTGTAATTATAACTTACTATTCCTATAATAGCACCTAATGTACTGAAACATTTTAAATAATTTTAAATAAAGAAAAAAAATATCTTTCCATTGTATGAAACTTTCAGTTAATAAATAATAAAAATGTTTATAATAATATTGTTCATTTTTTACTTATTTATTGTAACATGAAAATGATAATAAAATAAAAAATAATTAAATGGAAACCATAAAAAATTTACTATGGAATAATTTTATAAAAAAATTTCAATAAGCACTCGTTAAAAATTATAAGGCAAATAAAACACATTCAAATAGTTCAATTAAGAAAAATATTTTATAAAATATTGTACACTAGACAAAAAATTATACGTAAATATTAATATATCGTAAATGATATATTTTTTTCAAAATAGATTATGTATTATTTTATATAGTTGGTAAATAGTTGTTTTATTTTTAAAAATTAACATAATGAAAAATGTATAATATCTGTATAAAAAATGTACACACATTTTAACAATTTACTTTTTTCCATTTTTTACATAAACGTAAATGTTAAAGTTTATAAAATTATCAAAAAAAGCACTAAGATGTAAATGAAAAAATAGTATTAAAAATATATTTATAATATAATTTATTGAAAAATCCCGAAAAATCTAATTCAATAAATCAATATTTTATTTTTATCAACAATTATTTTTATATTTCAATATTTAAAGATATTAATTTATAAATGTATTTAAAAATTTAAACATAATGAAACAAAATTAGAAGTAATTAATTGTCTTAATGTAATATTTCAGTCTGTTATTTTAATTCTTTCGTTATTTTTCTGTTGAAAATTGTGTTTTATAAGGTAAGTTTGATCATTCTAAAAAAAAATTTCCTAGACTTTTATGAGTTTTTTTTTTTTACTTGAATAACAAAAAATGTATTTTCATTAGAACGCTCTTGATGACCGGAATTTAATTTCTGGGGAAACTCTAGACTTAATATGAGAGATTATAGGATATTTTATTTAGACTTTAAAGTATAGAGAATAAATGTATACGGACTGTTTATTTTTCCCACCTGAAATTAATTAAAACTGTATAGCTATTCATTAGTAAGTAAGCACCAAAGCAATTTTTTCCACTATGATATTAAGGTAAAAATGTTATGAGACTATTATACATGAGATAGCTACAACAAAAATATTAGTTTGTTACCATTCTATACGGTCTTTAAATTTTATTACATTTTGTTCTGTATAAATTAACAGTGATCGCTTGGGACTTTCGCGATATTTCTCATCATAAAATGCACCCTATTTCATTATTTAAAATATTTGAAAAAACAGTTAAAACGTCTGCTTTAAAAATTAAAAAAATATGTAGGCAGTTATTAATAAAATAAACTATATTTTTCTAAAAAAAAAAAAAACTAAATTAAATATAATTTCTAACTTTTTATCCAGCATTAAACTTTAGTTAAACTAATAATCTTATATTTTATGAAATAAAAAAAAAATAAAATATATTATCTAGATATAGATATTAATAAATATTTAGATATTTAAATTAATCAATACTCACATTTTCGATTTTACAACATAACACTATTGAATTTCCTTCGGGTGTATGATATTCATCGCTACCTGATATTACAGCAGTTGGAACAATCACGAACAAGTTGAAGTAATGTGTCATAATACCAGTGCCTGTTCCAACCTGCAATAATAAAAAAAAAAAACTTTGAAAAATGTCTGTTTATTTGTATTTACACTTCAATGACATAATTACTTTTTTTTAAGGTGAAAACTTATATTCTTATAAATAATTTATAAGTTATAGTAAGAATATATAAAGTTTATTGTTATTTAATTGATTATATAGTTTAAAATAATTTCAAAACAAATTTTTAGTTAAGACAAAAAATTTTATTTTATATTTTTATCATTTTTTTTTTTTTTTTATTTAAATTTTTACTTTTTTTGAATAAAAACACTTATTTTTTTATTTCATACTGCAAAGCATAATGTTTTCCTAAGAATTTAAATTTTTAACGAATAAATCCAATACAAGTATTTTAACAATTTGATAAGAGGGGTAATGGAGTAAAATTTTCTAATGCGAAACTAATTTTATTCAAATTCTTCAAGTAATTAAAATGTATGATTAAAGAGTTACTTTTTCGTTAAAATTCAATTTTTATAAATTGAAACACTTAGAAAAATATTTTACTTTGAAAATATAATGTAGGCTTTTACAAAAAAAAAAAAAAAAATAAGAATATTGCACATTCGGAGCTAAATGAGCCTTGTTATCACTGAGTCGAATACTTTAATGGATACTTTAAATTCAATTCAATAATAAATAATTATAATATATAAAAAAAAGATTCTGATCAGAGATGGTTTGTTAGCTTATTATCACATACATAATATATAACTATTAAATATAATCATATATATTTTTTTTTAATAAACCAATATGTATTAAGTATAAATATTCAATTAGGCTATAGAATATAATTAACTTAAATGTTTTCAAAATATTACCGTGATATTACAATACATAAAAGTTTCAAATCCAATGAAACATATTTTTGCACAACAAAATAACTAGTATTATAGTTAATATTTAAGTATCAAATTTCGTTAAAATATCTATAAAAAAAAAAGAAGTTTATATTTTTTGGGTCCAATATGAATTATTAATGACAATAATGACTAATAAAAACTTTGTATATAAATTTAAGACTTTTTATTTTGTGAATACTTTTTATTCGATATTTATAGAAAAAAAGTGAATAAAATCTAAAATGTTGGATGTTTATAAATAACTTAAAAATGAAAATAAAACAAAATCGATTTTGTTAAAAACGGTATTTACGTAAAAAATCCTAGTTTTTTTTTTTTTTTTATAATTTTTAAAAGTACAAGGAGTTTTTAATTTTAACTACCTAAAAGTGTTGTTTAGATAAAATTTTCCATTAGAAACAACCTAAAATTGAAGATTAAAATATAATTTTTTTTTGTGTTTATTTTGTATACGCTGAGAAACACATAATTTTAAATACTCTATAAAAGAATGAAAAAGAAAATAAATAACAATACAATATTGTATATGTTTTTTAAATATCATTAGTAGAGCTCGGAAGTTGATAAACTTAAAAACATTAAAAAAACATTAAATGCAAATAAGACTTAAAAATCACAATAAAAATTACAAAAAATGACCTAAAAAACTATAAATATTTATTTAAAATTAATAAAAATACATTTTTTCTTTTTTAAAAAAAAAATAGTAATAATAATAAAAATTACTCAAAAGCATATTTTATATTGTCAAAAGTAAAAATTACAGCTGGCAATTGCTTTATTCTATCGAATCTTTATCTTTACCTAACATGTATATAAATTGTGTAAAATATTTTATAAAATATAAATAGCATGTAGGTACTTATATATAGTTTGTGTAAAACAAAAACTATGTTTATAAATATATTAATTGACAAAATCTAATTATAAATACAAGAAATTGATCTAAAAAGGATAATAGGACTTTGTTTAGAAAAGGTATTATACTAACATGGAATTAAATAACGGTAGGTACTTAAATTTTTAAGATAATTTTAATTATTCGAGATTAAAAATTACCTATTTATAATTAATTGTATTTTTTTTACAAAAACCACACAATCCCATAACGCTTAAGATTTAATATAATTAAACTGTTTTTTCTAAAATATCCAAGTGAACACAATAATTAATTTAATATAAATCAGTTATTTATGATGAAATTATAAATAAAAGTCCTAATACTCATTATTTAATAGTCATTATTTTATAATAATTTATAAATAATATTTCTACATTTTTATATTTATAACAATGGTAAACTACAAGATTTATTGAAAAATATGTGATATAATATTAATACATTAAATTTGTTTATAAGCTTCCTTGAAAAGAATTACTCTTTGAATTTATAATTATGCATTTTACTAATTATTTTTTATTGTACAAAATATAGATTAAAAAAAATACTAAATATTTTAACTTCTTAACTATGAAGTTTGTTAATCAGTTTTAAATTTCAGTATTTACATATAAATAATTACTTTCATAACCAAAAATAAGCTAAATCTATTTTAACAGTATTGTATAATATTCACTTTAATATTGATTTAAATAAGTATTAAATTTAAAATATGAAAAAATTTTCTTATGACGATTTTATTTTAGTTTTCAATAAATTACAAGAAACAAAATTAATTTTTAAATTAAAAACAAAACAAAAAAAAAAAAATTAAATTTAAGTAAATTGATACAGGTTGTCATGTTGTGCAACAAATGGTATGAATTCTACAAACAAATTTATGTATATATGATCATTTACAAATATTACCAAAAATATTTAAGCCGATGTAATTAATATTAAATCGATAAGTTATTCATAAAACTAAAGATTTAATTTTCTAACATGTGATGCTCTAGAAAATATAATTTTTAAATATAGTCTCATCATAATTTTTAAGAAAACAATACATCATAAAAATGGTGTTGGAGATTTGGATAAAAAAAAAAAAACCAATTAAAAATGCAAACAATACAAAAGTTTGAGTTAAGTATCAAAATAAAATAACGCTTTAAAAATTGTTTTCTTCAATAATTATAATCTGAAAGTTCCAGTTGAGTCTGTCTATCTCACGCATAAAAAAACTGGGTTTGCACTTCCAAAACTTCAAAGTCTTAGTGTAGTGTAATGAACCCATTATCCGTTAAACCCTTTATAAGGTTTTATCTAAATACTTTGCGAGAATCTTTTTATATTTTAATTTTCAACCTATTTTCAAGCTATTTTTTTATACTTATAATATTTTAATGCTTTTGGTATAAACCAAAATTTAAATTCACTAATGTAAATTATTATAAATGACCTAAAATAATAATCATTCACCACAAACATTAACACTTAAAACAAAACAATTTACAACTTTCGTGTAAATAACACATTAATATGAAATTTTATAACAATAATATAATAGCACACTTTATAGACAATCAGCACATTAATTACGAATTATGTAACATTTTTTTTTTTTAAGTTTACTAATACTATTATTACGAACAAAATTCATAATATTATCTGGATATTTGTTATTGATACCAGCGTAAACATACGATCTGGTCTAATTGTTACTTGTTATTCTGGCGATATTTCTTTAAAATAAAAAAAACTAATTTTTTTAAATTAAATAGAAAAATTGGAAAAAAAATAATGGTTTGACACTTTATCCATAATATAATTGTTAGTAAATTGTTAACAAATAATAGACACTGAAACCATATAAAGGTTTAGTTTGATTTTCCCTTAGACGAGTTTGGCGATGTAAATCTAAATATGTTGGTTAACTTTTAAGTTATACTCATGCGTTGTTAAAATTATTTTGTAAAAGTATGTGTTAATAGATAGATGCACCCTGTCACATTTTTACCAATAATACAATAGGAACTACAACAGTCGTTTTTTTCCGTGGAAATATAATTATAAAATACATTACATCTGTATGTTATTTAGAATTTTATACTTATGTACAGTGGTATTTGTGTTTTAACATTTTTATTTTTTATTTTATTGATAATTAAACTACTAAGACTAATAATACCTATTAACTCTACAACTGGTAGCAATTCATCAACTAAATCATATTATTTCGTCTTTAACGCCACAGTATTATACTTTTCTACAGATCGTGTATTTAAGATTTACATGCACACAATTTATATAGGCTTTGGAACTTCGAAAATATATTGCTATAATTATAAAATCACGGGGCTTAGTTTACTCTGGTATCTACTCGGTCAGATGCAGTGTAATAATAATAATAATAATAATAATAATAATAATAATAATCCCCCTTTGGCCAGAAACAAAGAGGTGATGGCGTATATTGTATACGAGTACGCATTAGCATGGTAATTGCATCTATATGTTTTGTTGTACCCCATGACAGTATTTAAACAACTATAGACTATATCCATTTAATTTTTTCGGGTAGTGCTAATCTATGCAATAAAAATAATAAAAATGATCATAATAGATGCGATTAGCAACACCTGATGCCTATATTATTAATGCATTTATTAAAACGATGGCAATATACATTCGGTAATAATTTGGTACACGATGTAGTGTACTAAGTATTGTAAGGATAATAACTCACAAAGTAACATGTTATTTAGTTATTATCACGTTGTACGTATTTACTATCGACGGGTTTAAGGTGGAATACGTGGCTCTGTGGAACTTGTCATAGCCATATCGTGCACATCTCTATAATAAATCATTAAATCGTGCGTAAATCATTTTGTCGGTGAAATGTGGCTTACGTTCAAGTTGAAAACTACAATTTAATGAACGTATCACACAAACAAGCTGTATAATAATCATATTATTAAACTTTTACTAGTTTGCTTCTACGGAGAATACTAATTGCAAGTATAGGAAGGTACTGATGATAAACATAATTAAAATTTGTAATTTGTAAGATAAATTTATTTCCAGAATTAGATATTATTTCATAATATGCAATCAGTATTTAAATTATTTTTTTAATGTATCAATTTAATATACATACAATACATATAATAAGATGTTTTAAATTAACTAAATTCTATCTAGTTATACAGAAAATAACGGTATATTAGCAAAAATATACATAA